CACCCTGGGGCAGAGCAACTATCTCCCAGCATCACCTGTAGTCTTCACTTGGTTGGGATGAGAACATATGCGCACATGCACACACAAAACTATTTGGAAAAAATACATATGTGGTACTTTAAAAAACAAATATATGTATATATTGGAGGTGGAAACCCCAAGAGAAACCTCTCCAATAGGCTTGCACATCCTTCTGCACTTTAGCTGTATATCTTCAGTTCAAAAGGTGGCTTCCAATTTGCCATCTGCCAACAAGGTTCATTTTCCAGTTCTAAGCACCAAAATATTTGAAGCCTATTTAAAACACATGCCTCTTTTCTGTCTACAAGGGCACACAATTAGTCATTCTTGATTTTAACTAGGGCTGCTTGGTTTCCCCTTCTCACAAAAAATGAACATAGAGCAGAAGATTGTGTTGGAAGCCGTCCCGAGGCTTATGCGAATGGGACGGCATACAAAAACTCCAAACAAACAAACAAATAAGAACAAGAGTAATATTTATTTAAAATATATTTGGTACAAGTCTGATACCTAGATGGGCATTTAAATATAATATTATTTACAAGCTCTAAAAGCTTTAAAAGGCTCCAATGCAGCATTTATTCAAATATGAAAGCTGTATGACTTCTAAAATTTGCTAACCATCTGATGAAAACAAATGTTTGACCTTTAATACACTGACAAGTATAAAAAATACTCCTCAGTTCTTTTCTACTGGCAAGTTTATTTTCTGCATAGATTTTATCCTATTATGCTGTAACAATCCTTCATTACCCTGGTACAATAACACATAGTCTATGGTCTACCTACGGTTGTCTGGTGCCTATTTAGTTTTATCACAAGCAAGCAATTTGAGAATATGGTAATAAACCCTCAATCACTGTAATGAGGTATGATGGGTTGTAATTTCTCTGTGCTAATGGGTTACAAACAGTATTACAATGATGACGGGAATATCATTGATTCATTATGACTGCAATAATATCAAAATGACTTAATATAGATCACTATTAACTCATGCACATACTCCTAACAGCCTCTCTGTTTCTATATACATTCATATAATACATAAAATTAATATTTGTCTTTATATAAAATTCACACAGCACAAAACATTGTGTTGAATTCCCTAAATCAATATTTAAAGTTGGAATTATTGCACTGAACTCGTTCTTTGGAAAGAAGACCATTGATTTTAATCTGCTTGAAGCAATCAATTACTCCCTGTCCTCTTTATTCCGAACTGTAATGAAAACTAAACTGCACTGTCTTGAAAACTAAATGTGAAGATGATCATAAACAGAATTTAAACTCCATGGATTATTCATATCTACCCATTTAGATTTGCCATTTCCATTATGAGTACATTTGCCATGAGCATTTAATGGACATCTAAAAGGGAATTCATTAAAGCAGGAGCTGTTGGCAGCACTTATGGCCTTCAGACTGCTTTATGTTTGCCTTTAATAGCTTGCTATTATAAAAGTGATATATTGTGTTCATCCCATTAGCAGTTTGCAGAAAGGTCTGTAAGACATAACGGAATCAGAATCAAAACTAAAATCACAAAGTTGTAATTTAAAATAGCAAACAACAATCATAAAGATACACTGTGTTTTAGGTGAACAAGGTTACATAGATAGTTCAAGCCATATGAGCAGTTAACCATCATTAAACAATGTATGTTTGGAATGCCTCTGCCTATTAAATAAGGTACCCATGAGAAAGGATCCAGACAATCAAGTCTGGCTAAGAATTTGGAGCATGTTAATATGTACAGTATATCACAGAAGTGAGTACACACCTCACATTTTGTAAATATTTTATTATATCTTTTCATGTGACAACACTGAAGAAATGACACTTTGCTACAATGTAAAGTAGTGAGTATACAGCTTGTATAACAGTGTAAATTTGCTGTCCCCTCAAAATAACTCAACACGCAGCCATTAATGTCTAGGCAAGGCCTGTTCTGAGTTGAACCTGTCCTGTTAAACCACTACATGGTCTTGGCCACCGTTCTGCAGCTCAGTTTCAGGGTCTTGGCAATCTTCTTATAGCCTAGGCCATCTTTATGTGGAGCAACAATTCTTTTTCTCAAGATCCTCAGAGAGTTCTTTACCATGAGGTACCATGTTGAACTTCCAGTGACCAGTATGAGTGAGAGCGGTAACACCAAATTTAACACACCTGCTCCCCATTCACACCTGAGACCTTGTAACACTAATGAGTCACATGACACCGGGGAGGGAAAATGGCTAATAAGGCCCAATTTGGACAGTTTCACTTAGGGGTGTACTCACTTTTGTTGCCAGCGGTTTAGACATTAATGGCTGTGTGCTGAGTTATTTTGAGAGGACAGCAAATTTACAGTTATATAAGCTGTATACTCACTACTTTACATTGTAGCAGTCTCATTTCTTTAGTATTGTCACATGAAAAGATATAATAAATATTTACAAAATGTGAGGGGTGTACTCACTTCTGTGATATACTGTAGATTACATATGCGGACATGCACGAAAGGTTTCCTCAGCACTAACTGCCAAATGTATGATGCACAAAGACCTATGAAGAAGAGTAAGTCAAATAACTATGGTTCATAACCTATTTAGAAAACACTTCAGGGCATTCCCTCCATCTTTCTCTGTGGAAGTTACTATTGCCCTTGAACTAATCCACACTAACTCATGAAGCTGTTAGGAAACAACAAAGGGCAGGAACTGAGGTGTTTCTGGCAGGCTGTGAACAAGGATAATCCCATTCCCAAATATGCAGGTACAGAGAGCACTCTGAAAATATGAATTCTGTGTGTGAGCACTGTGTGTTCAAGTGTGAAGGATTTTTTTTAAAGATCACCACCAACCCACAGTGTTTTCTTTCCTCTGTGATAAAGAGATGAGCATGGAGGAATAGATAATCCAACATATACAGTACATGAGGTGGCCCTGAACCTAGCCACTGGCCCAGTCACGTGCCAACTGATC